GAGAAAATCACACATTCCTCTATGCCTTTGAGAGGATATCGTGTAGTTTATAAAATCCTGTAATGGATGGGGACTGTGCTGTATACTTCATGTGGTGCATTACAGAACGGATGCACATGGAGCGGTCTTTGAAAAATTAGAAACTTTTTAAAACCCAAATATACCCTTCCTTTGAGCATAAAATTTAAGGACGAAATTGCCTGCTGTAAAATGAATATAAGAAAACATATTTTCCTTCATTTTGCCCAAAAAATATATTTGAATCTATAAGAACATCTTCAGTCAAAAGTAGGGAATTACACTGTCTAGGTAGCTACTTTTTACCGAGTGTATTTTTTGCAAACGGCCGAAGAGAATACATTCAAAAACCAGAAGTTGGAAATATCGTGGGATTATGCTGCGCAATATCCACTTTTACAACCTCACTTAAGTAATCCCTCTAACATGAAAAGGCATTTCAGAATTTCGGTTGTCATTTCGTGAGATCGGCAACCGACTGTATATGTGGTATGCATTGAAGGGGTGCGTCGCGCCATGCCAGTCACTACAGTAGATAAGCTACCGCATGAAATGTTAACCAACAATTCTGAAGTAAATTTTCCACCCGAAAAGATGACTTTAAGAGGGTTGCGTGACTAACTATCGCGCAGAATAATCGCAGGATATTTCAGTCTTTTTGGGATGCCGGCTTTTGGACGAACTTCTTTCCAGCCGCATGCAAAAAACTTCATTATAAAATGACTGCTTAAGTAGCATGCATTTTGTTACAGATTTTCGGCGCCATTATAAATTCAGATATATTTTGTGGAAAACGCGCATGAAAACATTCACTTACCTATTTATTTGGTATAAAATCACGTCTTCTTCAAATTGCATGCCTGAAGAAATTGTAAAATTTCGTTTTAGAAACTTTTTAAATCCTCGAACAACTGAAACCCGGCCTGTTGTCACACTTGCATTCAGGATTCCTAAACTGCAAGTGCTATGTTTTCTGTGTATGAAAACCCATAAATTGCTATATGCTACTAAGTGAAGATCATGCGGATTTTTAAAAAATTGACAACTGATTTGAGCCATAGTGTCAACTTTACAAGCAACATTAGCAAATGCAGACACGTGATTTTTTATGAGCAAGCATTTCACGGTTTTGAAGAATCACATAAGAAGAAATTTTTTAAAACCGAATTACACCCTTCCTTCAAATATGAAACTTGAAAATATAATTTTCCACCGAGTAAACAGACGAATAAATTTTTTTTTGCATGTTTTCGACGAAATATACCTGAATTTATAAGAGCGTGGGAAATTAATGACAAAGTTCATACTACGTACAGTGGTGCGCGGATCACACCACTGTATAAAGGAGACAGCAATGCCTCTGCAAACAATTACAGTCCAATTAGCCTCACCTCCATCTGCTGCAAACTTATGGAAAAAATAACCAAAGGAGAGCTAATGCGCGGCCTAGAGCAGTATAATTTATTATCTGATGCGAAGCATGGGTTTCGTAGTGGCAGGTCTTGCGTGACTAACTTGCTCAATTGTTTGAAACGTTGGACTCGGTCAGTTGATGAAGGCAGTGCGCTGCATGTAGTCTATATCGACTTTAAAAAGGCATTCGATAGTGTTCCACTTCAGTGACTCCTGCACAAACTGAGCCGAACAGACGTTAGGGGTGACTTCTTAAAATGGATGCAAAGCTTCCTATTAGACCGTTCTAAAGCTGTCCATGCCGGTGACCAGCAGTCGACGGAGGTTGCCGTTGAAAGCGGTGTTCCCCACGGCTCGGCTCTTGGTCCTACTTTGTTCATTATTTACGTCAACGGTTGCGTGAGTGAACTGGACTGTGGTGTCGCCATGTTTACAGATGACATTAAGCTCTGGAGAGTTATTCGAACTGCAGGTTACGAAGAGCATTTACAGGCGAACCTAAACCGACGCCAACAGTGGCCAGAGGACTGGCTCCTGCCGTTCACTGAGAAAAAATGTAATATTTTACGAGTCGGCAGAGCTCGCTCTCCGAACCACATGGTTTACTGCTGGAATGGTATACCAGTGCAAGAAGTGGACTCACAGAAGGACTTGGGAGTATGGATTACGACCTCGCTCAAACCCTCGCTGCACTGCAGGAAGGTAACCAAGTCTACAATGCCACTCCTCTACCCATGTCAAGCGGGCTTTCTCTGCCTTTGATGAAGACTGCTTCGCTAAAGTATTTCGAACGTTTATGCGGCCGCAACTGGAAGTCGCTATCCAAGCTTGGAGACCCTGGACTGCGAAGGACCTCAGCATCCTCGAAAGGGTTCAAAGGTGCGTAACGAAACTTGTGACAGGACAGGGTTCACTACCATATGCAACGCGGTTAGCTAACCTTGATATTTTTTCCTTGAGTTACAGGCAGTCACGGGGTGACCTGATACAAACATTCCGTATCATACGCGGTCAGGACTGCGGCCTCGTACCGGGGGACTTCTTCGAGTTAGCAACCACCACAAACCTACGAGGTCATCCATTCAGACTACGCGTGATCGGGGCCAGGCTGGAGACACGAAAGATCTTGAAGCTTGGACCGCCCTGCCTGTGGATGTCGCTATGTCTACTTCCGTCGAGGTCTTTAAGAGGAAGTTGGATTTGTGTAGCAGTGTCCACTAAATTACCACCCGACCTCTGTAGCATTGACAAATCCCGTTGTTATAATACTACTTGCTATATTTCAGTAACATTTTAAATTGAATTTCTTATTGTATTCAATCCATCGCCTACGCTCACTGACATGCACCTATGCAGCTTTGTCACCGGGTATATTATTTATTTCCCTGCACTCGAAACGACCGCTTTACAACTGCTCGTACCACTAACATTCGAGACAATTTGTTTGTCTGAACAGAGCTGAAGCATTTCCGGTTATTTGTAACCTTTATGATACCTTTTCCAGTTTTTGAAATTTTGCAGTTGCTTTTAAACAAATAGGGAGTTCGTAGGTGAAGACCTATATTTCTGTCTATAAAAGTGAACTGAACTGAACTACTTAAACAGACATTTTTACAGGGTCAGTTCTCGCAGGCGACAAAAAGAAGTTCGTTCAAATGTCGGCATCTTGAACTAAGTGAATTATCATGGGGTTATTTTACAAATCTACTTAACTTATCTTTTCTGGTTGAAAATGAATTTCAGAATTTCGATTAACATTTCATGATTTAGCACATCTATTGTATGCCCAAATTTATCCTCAGTCCGTTTGGTCCGGATAAACCACTGGTGTAGTAGAGAGGAGATAGGGAGAGTGGAAACTAATCCGTTCAACAGTCAAATGCCCCCTGACTCTATCCCATCTCGCCAACAGTCTTGACGTGAAAAGTTGCTAGCTGACGGCATAACACAGCCCTACTCAGTGCTTAGAGTCGGGCTTCAGTGGCTTTTATGGGACTTCCACTTATGTGGGATTCGAGCCGCTTACGAATGAGGCCTGCTGTGTGGGGAGTCAAGAGCCAGCTTGTGTGCGGTCAGCGTAGACGGGATACATGACCCCGCCAACCGCTACATTCACACCCGCCTCCAGTGGTCTTAACTTCGTCCTGCCGTTGGAGCGCGGTTGGTGAGGGAAGAGGGAGCGCAGTAAGTGCATCGCAAGTCGCCACCCCACAAATGACTCCACGAACAAGTCCCGACCTTACCCACCTCACTATTCAGCAATGATCAGAGTATCGATCCACAAGATGGAACGAGCTCGTGTCGCGCTCTGGCGTCCCGCGCAGCCTTCGCCTAGGAGGCACGCAACAACTCCGTCGGAAGTGGTGTTCTTAGCATAAATATAATTAAAACAAAGGTACTTGTTGGCGCCAGATAAAAGTCTGTCAAGCCTTAAGTGTTCAGAATTTCCACCAGGTTTTACACGATTTTTGGAAATGCAGCTGGCGTTTGTACAGTACACATACACACTTGGCGCCAATGCATCTGAGTATTCCTCTGAGGAGTTTTAAAGATTCCAACCAAGTTTCTTCTGCCTGTAGTTTTAGTTTTAGATTTTATTTTCGTTCAACTCAGTCCAGTCCTTGGTGGCCTTGTCCTTCTTTTATGCGACTATGACCTCGGTAGAAAAAATCCCAACTTGCGCATTTCCCCTTCAGGTAACGTGGTTCAATTTTAGTCTCAGTCCGTTTGGTCCGGATACACCACTGGTGTATTAGAGATTGGAGAGGGCGAGAGGAACCTAACCCGGATCTCCCGTTCAACCGTCAAATGCCCCCTGACTCTATCACGTTACGCCAGCTGCGTAAATATAATTACAACGAAGGTACTTGGTGGAACCAGAGAAAGATCTGTGAAGCCTGAAAAAACCCAAGACTAATCCTTAAATGTTCAAAATTTCCACCAGGTTTTACACTATCTCTAGAAATGTAGCTGGTTTTTGTACTGCACATATGCACACTTGGCGCCAAATCATCTGATTGTTTTCCCCGAGGAGTTTTAAAGATTCCAGCCAAGTTTTTTCTACCTTCAGTTTTAGCTAAAACTATTAGGCCTTATTAAATAAACTCAGTTTTGCCAATAGAAGCGAAGAGAGAGTCCCAGGAAGCAGTCTTGAAGAAGGAGACACAATCGCTGGGACAAGAGCTTTATTGGCCTGACTTTTCGGATTCGTGTTCGAACCCATCATCGGAGACTAAAGCAGATACGGGTGGTTCATGCACAAGCGACTGCAGTATTTATAGGATGCAGTCACCATGCCACCGCATACCCATGAATGTTCACGGCCCCCCCCCTTCATCCGGGATCGTTGCACGAGGTGTGATGACTGTTTGATGGCCGATATTTGCGTCGTTAATTGCTGCAATTTCATCACGTGTGTTAGATGTTGGTGTGATGATTGCTCGACCATCTGACGCGCCGACTCTGGAGTTGGGAAAAGTGTTCACCTGTGTGCTTCCCGCGTGGCTAATTACTCCGCCTAGGCGAAGTCTCAGTGCCGAGTATGGAATTGGAAGTTCATTGCACTTGTTAATGGACTGGAGGCCAGTAACCCATGACTAAAGCAGCTCCCGGCTCACGCGGTTGTCACCTCTAGCGATAATTTCGGCCTCGTCGAATTTGAATGTTTGGCCGGATCTCGTCGAATGAGCCTCAATTAATTCAAATGAGCCAAGTTTTTTCTGCCTTGAGATTTAGCTAAAAAAATATAAGGCCTTAATAAATAAACTCAATTTTAGATTTTATTTTCGTTCGATTCAGTCAAGTTTTTGGCGACCTCGTCCGTCTTTTATGCGATCATGATCTCGAGAGAAAAATCTCAAACTGCGCATTTTGCCTGCTAATCACGTGGTCCTTGATTTAACATAAGTATCTTTTTATGTTTCCTTTGACAGTTATGATCTGAAATATAATTTAAATGGAGACCTTACCGGCCTGTAACCCCTTCGTTGACAACGGCCAGAACAGAAGGCCAATGCTCATCAGAAATCTTCGTGCAGGCCTCGCAGCTTCCATGGCCGGAAGCTACAAAACGTGCCAGCCGAATGGGACTTTTAACGCACGCCCATACTTAATCGTACAACCTCAGGCGGTCTGACATGATGTTTTTCTGGGAACAATCGTTCGCCTTATAATTTCCTTATCCAAGTAATACTGAATATTCAACAACATGAAATCGATGTCGTCGAACACTATTTAATTCTAATCGGAAACGATGTGTGTAATTTTGTCAAAAGGTCATGAACAATGCAGCTGCAATTATAAATGTATGTTCATATGCATTTCACTTTTCGAAAGAACAGATTCAAAGCTACGATGACATTACAACAGGAAACATTCTCGCGAGTAACTAATAAAAATAGCGTTGTTAAAATCTACGACCAAAAGGTTTTGCGCACGGTGCTAAAAGGGGCTGAGGTGATCGTTTTCGACCCGATGACCGTCGTCAGGTGGTCGAAAACACTCACGACTTTGGCGACACATCGACTAGTCTTGAGTCAATAGCCAGAGGTCTACGTTACGCCGACAGCCATCGGGATATTCGAAGTCACACAACACCAAGGGCCTCTGACTTTTACGACCCCGGAACTGAACCTTTCCGACTCATATATGGTTGCGACTAATTCGCTGATTTACGGACTGCTCATTACTCTGCGATGATCTGCAGGGGCTGTGTTCTGGAACTTAATCGCATACTTAACACCGAGGCCAACGAAGTAACTTCGCTTGTAGTCTTCAGTAGACCTCTAAAGTATTTCGTGTAGAGAGTACAAGCCCCCCCCTCCCTAGTTTACGTCAGTTATCGTACCCACAAGGTAACGCCAATATCGTTAGGTGTATGCTTCCGTAGTCACGAGTCCCAGTTATTCATCTTCGAACCCTAGTAAGTGAACCAAAATCTACAGCACTGATTCCGATGAACAACACCAGATGTCACTGAACCTCCGCTCAGAATACATCCCTTGCACTCGATAACGTCTGACCAGTGAGTTACGGCGGACTCTACGATAGTACGCTCTTCTTCCCCATGGGCCTTTTGGAACTATCAGTGGAAGCGGCACACTCCTGGAGAGTTTCTTCAGATCGTCTGGTTTGGCTAAATAAGTGGGAATCGGATTGTGAGGCTTTGTAGATGACCACTCCTTGAGAACTGTCTGTACAGACACTGCTGTCCATTTTCCATATTGACTCTTTGGGGGAGTTCTAATATAGCAACATAGGTTAGCCGTCGAGTGGTTGCTATAGCGGCGGAGGAGCGGTATTAGGTTGATTGTCGTCAGTGTCATAATTGTCAGACAGAATGGTTGCAAGCCGAACGTCAGGGAGCGGGTGTCCATGTTCCTCGTCTTGCTCCCTCGCATAGGTGGAGTCACGTGTCAGAATAGGGGCAAAGTGGAATCGACCTGTGTTCTGTCGTGCAGTCGGATTGAATCAGTGCACGCCAACCACCAACGACTTAGCGTACTCCCGACAGCGACCAACATGACGTGGGCTTACGTCAAGAGAAAGAGAGAGAGAGAGAGAGAGAGAGAGAGAGAGAGAGAGAGAGAGAGGAATTCGCTTTATTTAAGTGCTGACGTTCCAAAGAGCTTGGTCGGCTGTCCATTGTCGAAGCGTAAAATGCACTTAATCGATCAGAAATTTCAAGTAGCATGTTGTGTTGGTCGGCCTCATGTTGATCGATTTTTCTCTCCTCTCGCTGCCTTGGTCGCTCGGGTGATGGTTGACGGGCGTTTAGCCTGCGTGCTTTGAGAGTCACCACTCCGTCGAGGGGAGCTGATTGAACCTTTGTCGGGCGGTCGGTCTGGCGGTTCTTGTTCTTCCTCACCGAGTAAACTCAGCATCAGGCTATCTTCGTACGGTCTTCTTAAGTCCGCTGTGGTTGTTTGGTCCTGAGCTCTACGACTGTGATGACGTAGGACTTTGTAAGATGCAGGAAGGTCCAGCT